GGTGCTAGCTACCCTAGAGTTACTACCCTAGAGCTGCAAGATTCTAGCGCAAGGGGGCGTCCGCAGGCAGTTTAGGCGGCGCTAGTAGGCAGCTTACAGTGCACCCAGCACGCCTGCTAAGTCTCCTAGCAGGAGACGCAGGACTTAGCGCGTAGTAGTGGTTTTAGTACTAGCTACCCTAGAGTTGCTACCCTAGAGCCGCAAAATTCCAGTGCGAGGGAGCGTCTGCAGGCGGTTTAGGCAGCGCTAGCGGGCAGCTTACAGTACACCTAGCGCGCCTGCCAAGTCTTATAGCTACAGGTGCCGGTTTAGGCGCGTAGTAGCGGTTTTGGTCTAGTAGGTGCTACCCTAGAGCTAAACCTTTTCCACAATATCTCCCGCTATAGTACGTATCTAGGCCTATCCTCTTAGCTACAGGCCCCCTAAGGCTATATATACCTACCTATTATACTTAATCTATATAGTAATAATATTTTTATGTTTTTATATAGCAAGGTAAAATAAAATGTTAATAATACCTTGAACTGTGTATAGTGGTGGGGTGCTTTTTTAGAAAATCGGTACTAACCTACCTAACTCTATAACCACGTAAGCTACGCCAACTAAAGAGGTGCTAGTAGGTAGGCTGGGGCCTAGGAACACTGCTAGTACTTTTTTTATTCTAATGCACCCACCCGTTGCCGAGAAAATCAACTTTAAGTGCGAGCTCTAGGGTAGCTACCCTAGAGTTGCTACGCTAGAGCCGCAAATTCCGGCGCGAGGGAGCGTCCGCAGGCGGTTTAGGCGGTGCCAGCAGGCAGCTTACAGTGCACCCAGCGCGCCTGCCAAGTCTCCCGGCGGGAGACGCACCAGTTCGTGGGCGTTGGTGGTTTTGGTGCCAGCTACCCTAGAGTTGCTACCCTGGAGCCGCAAGATTCCAGCGCAAGGGGGCCTCTGCAGGCGGTTTGGGCGGTGCCAGCAGGCAGCTTACAGTGCACCCAGCGCGCCTGCCAAGTCTTGCAGTCACAGGTGCCGGTTTAGGCGCGCAGCAGTGGTTTTAGTG